CTTCTACCTATTCTCGTCTGACAGTCCCGTGTAAAGTTTTGAGACGTTTGCTGACATTGCAATAATCCTTTTCCTCACCCTCCGTTTTCTCTCTCCACCTGCATCACCAACATCGCTATCGCCACCATCGCCACCTCCACCAGGCTGGAATGCGTGGTGGGTGGCATTGCCCGTTGCCTTGGCATTGACAACTCTCGTCTCGGTGCTGGTGATCTACACGTGTGTGAAGAACAGGAGAAGCAGGTGTGTGCTTTGCGGTTGCGCCCGCTGTCTCGATCGACCAGCTTACTAATAGGGTTTTCCCCCTTTTTTCTGGCAACAAAAACGGACACCTTTTGCAAGGAATCATGCTTACATTAACCACAATACTTGCAGTCAAATGCAAAGAAAAAACAATACTCTGATAATTTATGCATTGTGTTTGAAACTGATTGGTCCACACCAGAGACAGCTTTCTTTAGAGCCTAGTCTCATGTGGCCTTTTGGCGTCATCTGGTCGAACACCATATGAGACTTGGCTCTAAAGAAAGCTGTCTCTGGTGTGGACCAATCAGTTTAAAAGACAATGCATAAATTATCAGAGTATTATTTTTTGTTTGCATTTGACTGCAAGTATTGTGGTTAATGTAAGCATGATTCCAAAAGGTGTCAGTTTTTGTTGCCATAAAAAAGGGGAAAAACCCTATTAGTATATTTTGGTACTGGCAAAGAAGGTCCCATGATGCCACAGCTTTCTCAAAGTCCCCGTTCGCTCGAGACTCCCGTTGATCGGCGTTGATGCGATTGTCACCTCTGTCTGTCGCAGACGCAAGGCGGCGGAGGGAGCTGCGAGCACGCAACTTGGGCGCAGAGCGGGTGAGCGTCGCGCGTCGCGGGGCAGCAGCACGTGCGTCTGCGCGGGAAAAATTCCAATGTGGCACTGCGCTTCTATGCCGTGTGATTTTTAACCTTGGGTCGGATCTTGGGAGCGCTGCGCGTCTGCCGTGTGGCGGCTGTGGGACCTGGCGGGAGGGTACGAACGCGTTGACTGTACTTCTACTCTCCCACGTCTACGCCGCCTGCTGCGTTGACGAAGGCTGGCGGCGTCGGTGGTGAGGGGAGGGGGGGGTGCTGGGGGGAGGTGTCCCCTCCAGCGGTGGATTGACACCAGGGCTGCTACGTGTACACGCGCAGTCTGCAATTACAGCGCGTAATACATTTTGAAATACATTTTGCATGACGCACGGGCGCGTGTTGTTATGCGTGCGTGTGTAACTTCTGTGTTTGCGCATGTAAACGTGGAGGAAACAATGCGTACACACACACAAGGAACTTGATAGGTTTAGTGCGAGCGGGCTTTTGCATGCCGATTCGTTTTGCACGGACCCAGTGCGTGAGTTTTCCCCACAGACTCTCCGCATCTTCTGCAGGGAGATTAACAAAAGGTGCGACACCCCCCCAACTCCAAACTCGCTCGACTGTAAAGTGATCTGGGCACATAAGGCTTGGGGTCGGAGTTCACGTTTGGTCTAAACACGTAACGGTCGTAGTGCAGCGGTGTCTTCCAACACTCTTCTTGGTTCAAAGTGTTTGGAACGGCGTAACGCAAAACATCAACAGCAACCGACCTCTCATGAATGGCAGATTTGAAATAGGTTCTTAAGCACGTGATGCAAATGCTGGACACTTCAATTTGTGACACCGCTAAAGGTATTGATTGTTTGGCTCTTGGTAAGGAAATTCGTCTCCAAAACCCCTGCCTTCCAGGGTCCATTGGAACCGGGGATTTAACCGTTGCTCACTCTTTCGTTGCCTATCTTAATAGGCTCCTCCTAAGAGGTTCTTTTTGAGAAAATATATGAAGGGAGTGACATGTGATGTGTGCGATAATATAATAACATCCTCAACGACGACGATGATTATTGTAATCGTGATGTTTTTAATGGAGCGCCTTCCTAAATGCCCCAGGGGCATCTACGAGCGATTCCACACACATCAAGCGACTTGCTTCTCATGCAAAACTTTCTAAAGGGCCACCCCCAGTGGCAGCTATCCCTGTGTGGCGCACGGAGACCTGGCAGCTGACTTGCAAGCGAGCGTCATGCTGCCCTTACGAGGGGGCGGGGGGGCGGGCAATGATTGCCACTCTGTCTAATCCTAATCGAGCAGATTTCTGGGTCATTTTTCAAATGCGAACAAATCCGGACTCGCCGCACGCCAACGGCCAGCTGAGAGACCTGATGACCTCTCAACCTAACAACCAGGGTATTGTTACGTAACGACCAGGGTATTGCTACGTAACGACCAGGGTAATGTTACGTTACGACCTGGGTATTGTTACATAACGAGCTGGGTATTGCTACGTAGCGACCAGGGTATCGTTACGTTACGACCAGGGTATTGTTACGTAGTGACCAGGGTATTGTTACGTAGCGACCAGGGTATTGTTACATAACGACCAGGGTATTGTTACGTAGCGACCAGGGTATTGTTACGTAGCGACCAGGGAATTGTTACGTAGCGACCAGGGTATTGTTACATAACGACCAGGGTATTGTTACGTAGCGACCAGGGTATTGTTACGTTACGACCTGGGTATTGTTACATAACGACCAGGGTATTGTTACGTAGTGACCAGGGTATTGTTACGTAGCGACCCGGGTATTGTTACGTAGCGACCAGGTATTGTTGTAGCGACTAGGGTATTGTTACGTAACGACCAGGGTATTGCTACGTAACGACCAGGGTATTGCTACGTAGCGACCAGGGTATTGCTACGTAGCGACCAGGGTATTGCTACGTAGCGACCAGGGTATTGCTACGTAACGACCAGGGTATTGTTACGTAACGACCAGGGTATTGCTACGTAACGACCAGGGTATTGCTACGTAACGACCAGGGTATTGCTACGTAGCGACCAGGGTATTGCTACGTAGCGACCAGGGTATTGCTACGTAACGACCAGGGTATTGCTACGTAGCGACCAGGGTATTGCTACGTAACGACCAGGGTATTGCTACGTAGCGACCAGGGTATTGCTACGTAGCGACCAGGGTATTGTTACGTAACGACCAGGGTCCGCCTTGTCGGAGTCGAACCGCGAATCTCTGCCAACGTGCGGCGAGCGCTCCACGGCCGGGCCTCGTCGCCGCCCCAAGACGTAGTCGGAGGGGGGTCTCGACAGCGCAGCGTCACTCGGGAAATGCTGCATGACTCCCCCCACCCCACCGCCACCTCTGACTCCCCCAACACCACGTGATGACTTCGTTGCCGTGACCACCCACGCAGGCTGCTGCCTGAGCCTCAAGAGGATCTTCCCGAGCCGCATCCCCGAGCCGGCCGACTCGCTCATCAACATCCGCTACCACCCGGACAAGCGGCAGTCGCACGACATCGGCGCCGTGCTCAGCAACATCGAGGGGGCTCGCCACCCGGGTGAGTCGGTGTGTGCGTGCGTGCGTGTGTGTGCGTGCGTGCGTGTGTGTGTGCGTGCGTGCGTGCGGGGAGCAGGAGTGCAGCATTTAGTACGTTGTGCTGCTACGAACCCGGCGACCCGAGTTCGACTCCCGCTCACGGCCAACACCAGTGACGATTATCTGAACCGGTCCTGGGCCTCCCCTAGGACGGCTCAAATGAGTACCTGGTGCGGGCAGCCGCGCTTGGTGCTGGCCACGCACCCCGTCGTGTGCCGTGCCGGCCTCATTGGTGCTTGCTTGAAAGCCCCAAAGTATGTAATGGCTTTACAAAGGGCGTCTTTGTATATGTAAGTGAACCTCCAGAAATTCTGATTATATTTATCGTCATTCTCCCTCTATTTTCACATCTCTACCCCGCATCGTCTCTCCTCCCAGACTACGCCGTACCGCTCATGACTCCAGGCCAGGTGGGAAGGGCTCCACCTTCAAACCGGACGATCGGCCTGGCGGGACGACCCCCACCGCGCGGCCGTGGCTCAGCCTCAACCGCCGTTGCCGGCGGTGGCGGCGGCGACGACGCCGAGCCAGCACACGTACACGGAGCCCATCCCGAGGCGGGCGGCCCGAGTACGCCATGCCCATCGTGCTCCAGAGGGCCGCCGCCTCCCCGGCCGTCCTCGCTCCGCCCGCCATCACCGGCAGCGTCGCGAGCTCTCTCGGCGCCAGCTACGACCGGCCCGGCCAACGCAAGGCGGCTCCCGGCGGACTCGGAGTTAAGAAGCCGCAGCTGCAGCAGCTGCGGCCCGGTGGTGTGCCGGCTGCGGCAGTTGAGGTGGGGCTGGGGTACAAGGCGCCGATTCCGGTGGACTTGAGCAAGCCGGAGGAGGACTCGGGTTACCGCACGCCCAGGGCGGCCCTGGCGCTCGCACCGGCGTTACCGGCGCCGGCAGGGATGACGACTGCTGCGGCGCCGCCACCGCCGTGCGACTACGATGCCCCGAGAGCGGACCGGCAGTTTGACGTTTGACGGCACACTAAGTGGCGGTGGCGGCAGCGGTGGTGGTGACCACTGGGGGGGGGGGTGCCCCCCCTACTGAGTTGTGTTGAGCGCAGATTCGTTCAGTTGTTGTTCGTTGTGGGGGGAGGGTGGAGACTGTTGCGTGGCTCCCGGTGACGGTACGTGGCATGCGACGGTGAAATTATTCGCGATTTTTTTTTTCCATTCGATGCTCGTGGCCTTGCTAAATGCGTCGGATCGTGCGTGTGATTAGCTCGCTCCGCTATGAGCCTGGCAAGTCGAGTTCAATTCCTGACCGTGGCTATATCTAAACTGGACCCCCCCCCCCCTTCACCAAATGTCAACCTGCAACAGACCAGCTTAATGAAATTTGGTCAAACAATTCCCATGGCCACCAAAGCATGGGGGAAGGCCTTCATCCAGCAGTGGATGAACACATGTCTTGAGATGAACACTGTATGTTAATTGAAAGGAGCAAACGAAACTCTACAATTGGGACGGAGTTAACGAGAAACGATACGGTGAAAATGAGACCGAGAATCGCACTCCGATTTTGTGTTTCCATGTCGTACCTCTCGCCCGTTCTTCGGTACTCTGTCTCACTCCAGTTCCTGAAGAAGCTCCCGGTATGTGGAGCAAAAACGTCAGACAATGTCCCGCGGGACCGAATCGTTGCATGCCCCATTTTTTAACAGGGAGTGACCCGCACCTCCGATTTAGTACGGTTGGCGAACTTGCGCGTGCGAAAGAAGTTGGAAATGAGGAAGACTGCTGTTGGCGTACCACTATTGGCACAATGGTTGGGTCCATGGCAGGGAGGTTGTTTCTCCGTAGGACTACTTGCGTTGTGAGTGCAATTTCATAACTGCTTCCCTTCGGGAGTTTTTTTGTTTGTTCGTAAGATAAATATATTTTTTGAAAGATTTTTTTTTTCATTTGTTGCAGTTGGGGAAACATTAATCAAGGAGGAGGAATGGCAATCCCCGACCAAAAGGTTAATTTGCGTGACGTTTTTTCAGAATTTGTTTTCAAATTCTTCAACAAATGCCTTTTAATAGGCTCGGATCTCGTTCAAATATGATCCGCCCCCTCCATAGCTTAGAGGGAGTTCTTTTGCCAATATCTCCATTTATCAAGTTTTTCCAAGACACTAAACAAGCCTTTGTGGACAAATTGATAGGACCTTGCTTTGAAACATCCACTCTCTTCAGACTTATTTTCCATTGGCGTGCCATTCCTCCCGTAATATATATTTAGTTCATAACATGAACCTCTTCAGGAGCCTGTGAAAATCAGTAACTAAACAGTTATTATCGCTTCGGTGTCCTTAAAGGTTAAATCGCCATCCTGACGATCGCTGTAGGACAGGAGTTGGTAACCAATTTCCTTAACCAGCGCGAAAAATAGGAGTTTAAAATATTGTTTTGGCGGGCGGCACTTTAACGTGCATCTTGGCGTTATCCAATAATTAATAACCGCAAACAATAAATCGCTTTCACCTTTGAACAGGTGACCTTTGAACAGGTGACCTCGTGAAGGTGTGCAGTAAATCAACAAACGGTAAAGGTGCCGCCCTGCAATTGGCTGCTCGGACCACTGCTGATGGACGGGCCTCCACGTGTTCGAACTCTGGAGGTTATTATGGCCTACTCTTCCACGTTGACTCGCTGTGTTGGAAGAGGTGGGCGTACCTGCCGATTGACTAACTACGGCTGAACCCATTTATACTGCTGCTGCTGAGTGGACGGGGGGGCGGGGCGGGTTCAAGAAACTTGCATCGTTGCTTCGACTTCCGTGCCAGGAAATGGAATCGAACCGGCGCCCTCTGGATTGCAGGCCGAGTGTGCTGCTGCGAACCGCTACTCCGCGGTAGTTCCACCGTGGTAAATGTCGAAACGTGGTTTTTTCCTGTGCTTTACGAGGATTATTATGGAGTTCCAGCGAAGCTCTTAGAATCTGCTTTGGCGTGGGCCGTGTGTCACACAGGTTCTCAAGAGCAAGAGGCCTGCCGACAATGTGTTACTGTTGTCAGTTTATGCGATGTTTAAAAAAAAAAATCACGATACCACTGCTAAAATGCTCTGTGATCTTGAGGTCGAGTACAGAACGACAGTCCGGTTTAAAGATAACTCCCTTATCGACAACGCGTCTTAAGGCAATTAAACGTCATAATGTTCAGAGAGATCTTAGGTGGTTGGCAGGACCGCTCACTCGTAAGTCGAGTGACAAAGTCAAAATAAATCAACCGATAATGAATTACACAAGATAGTGGTGAAATGCTATGAACATTACTATTTTATATAATCATTAACATAAATATACTTACTCTTTGGTTCTTTCGGTAAAGTCACGTAGGTATAAAATATGATGAATCACGACGTTTCCGGCGCAACACAAGCGTCCGTCATCGGGTGGGAAAGCATAGTCTGCTGCTGAGGCAGACTGTTTTAAAAGGTTTGAAATGGATGTAGTCCAAGGGTCATAAAGAAGTGGCCGGGGCTATATATTCTTACCTCTGCCACTTCAGTTGAAGCGCACAATGTTGTGATGCCAGCCATATTGCATGGGTAACTTTCATGGTGGCCATGTTGCATGGGGGTTGTCGTTCTGGCAGTCGATTGGCTGGGGCAGTGGGGGGGGGGAGGGGGAGTCATGACACAATCCCTAGCAACCACTGCCATCTCACGAAGACGCCCGGAATTTATTTTGACCTTTGACCCATTTATCTTCAAATCTTACTGTGACAGTCGCTGCCTGCCTGCACTTAAGACAAATTTTAAGACCATTTTGTGTACCCGGGGGGGCGGGGGCGGGGAAGGGGGAATGGGGGGGCTGGGTTATTGTGTCATTGACATAACGTCCACCCAGCCCTGACTACCACTACCTAGAGCGATGTGATACGGTTATAGTACCGCGATTCAACTGTGACATGCGTGTGTGGCCGCTTGCGGGACAGAACCGCCTGCTTTGGGTTCTCACTTTAGCAGTGGCTGATCCACGTGCGGCTGGACTCTTTAAAGAAACGGTTATTTCGCGTACTTTGCGGGGAATCTTAATAGCACAATAAATAACGCCTCCTTCCCGTATCTCTCTTCCATAAAAAAATGTGGTATGAAAAAAAATCAGAATAGGTTTTACTCCTGCCAATAAAACAGATGTTAAGATGTTCAAACACCAAGTAGAAACCGTTAGTAAGGAATCGTGTCCGCAACCTATATTTTTTCATAAAAAAATTATGTCAAACTATCCTGACTCTTATTCTTGGTTCTTTCGGTAAAGTCACGTAGAAGGGAAATAATAAAATAATATAAATATAAAACAATAAAAATTCTCACGACGTTTCGACTGCAACACAAACAATCATCATCATCATCACGAAAGCTTTAAATCAAAATTTATCCTGACTGCTGATGGGAGTCCGGTCATCGTTAATCCATTAAGCCTGGCAGTTCAGGGACGTCTGGCAGTTCAGGGGAGCCTTGGGTTACAGCAAGCCTGATTTGCTGATGAAATAAATCGAATGTTCGAAACGTGTGCCACAGGTTTTGCTTTCACTGAACCAGTGCTCCTGATGGAATGCGTTCCCAGATGGCCCTGCGGCCGATGGGTTGTTTTACGCGGAGAGGCAAAATATGGGAAGGAGAGCGGCGTTTATTCTGTTCGTCTTAAAGAATAGCGGAGTGTTCACCCGGCCTGCTTTTCAAAAAGCCAAGGCAGCTTTTATTAGCATTAACGTGCTTTTATATAAACGAGGATGTTATTTTAACAAATGTTGCGATTGTATGTTTTTTGTATGTACAAAACGAAATAAAGAGACAACTATGTGATAGTTTATATATATAACATAACGCTCGGTGGTCGTCCTGTGTGGAGTGTTGCAACGGCGTGCATGTGTAATGGGTTCCGGAGACACTTGTAGAGGTAACTTCTTTATTACAATCCAACAGTCCTCCAACAGTCCTGATACTCTGTTACAGCCTAGGTACACAGCCTAGGTACACAGCCTAGATACACTACTCTGGCTACACTCTGGAACTCGCCCTCACAAGGACGTAGAGCCGGGAGTTCCAGAGTCCCACCACTGGCCCTCAACGTCCCAGGGTCCTCACATGGCTGGTCTTGAGCTACAACTGGCCTCGATCGTCCAGGGAGCTGCCCTTTTATGCCTCGTCCCCAACGAGAGGTGGGGTTGTGTGCGCCCCCAAATATCCCACAGAGCACACACAGCCCCCCCCCCCCCGTTGGTGGCGCCAAGAGGCTTAACTGGCTGGGGTGCCTAGGGTCCCAGCGCCTGGCGCCAAGGGGCTTAAGCGTCTGGGTTGCCTAGGGCCCCAGAGCCCCCAGCAACCCCTCCCCTCTTATGTCACTATACATGCACGTCTCGTCTTCATTTCTTCTGACCAGCGGCAGGGGCGCAGCGGGGAGGGTGGACCCTTGGCTGGAGCTCGCTTCTCCATCCCGTCAAATTCCCCGCCACGACCAACGTCAATGGGCGAGTGATGTTAGCGCGAGTTTGGTTCACGATCAGGGTTACATTCTCGCACCGTGAGAGGCGTTGGCGGCTTGGGGAGGTCTTCATCCAGCAGTTAATGAATCGTAGCTGATGATGACAATTTATTAACAGGTCCTGGAATTCTTCCCGCCTTCAACCCGCACTGCCCCACACAACAATAAAGCCTCCCTCCCGTATTTGTCTCTTCCGAATAACAAAAAAATATATCAAAGTATCCTGACTCTGCTGATCAGTCGTTCATCCTTAATCCATCAAGCCACCCGGAAAGGTCCTTTGCCTATGAACACCTTCCGATTAACACGGTTGACTACGTACGGCGTGAAAGAAGTTCAACATACATACGAATCATATTCGGCATTAGACACGTGACAACGACCGCGTCGCCTACAATTCTCAACCCAGCGGCTCTGCTGCCTCCCGACTCGATCCGACTGGAGCCGTTGCTTGGTCCCAGAAGGTGTCGGGACACGAGCTTATGATTGTGACAATTGCTACTCTTTATTAGTGTAAAACAAGGCAGTGTATTATATACACTGGTGACGTGGGGGTTATTATGGGGAGGCCTTCAATAGGGCGGGGAACGCGGTGCCAGGAGGGTTCAGGGCGCCACGGTAGCTAGGAGATGTTAACTACCTCGCCTGGTATACAGGAGGTCGTGGATTCGATCCCGACCCTGACTGTAATGTTTGAAGTTTGCTCTCCCCATGGTCGCGTGGATTTTTTCTCGGGGTCCTACGGGGTTTCCCACCACGTTTAGAAACACGCGTTAACAGCATTTGGCTGCTATACATTTCCACACGATAAGCAACTTTGTTGAGCTATCCATTTGTGACCAGTTCTGCTTCTGAAAAACAGCTGTATAGCTCAGTGGGGGTGGGGGGGCCTTAGCTGGTCACATTTTAAACTAAACACATTCCTGCGGAGGGAGCTGGTAGGAACGTTGTGTTGCTCGGTCAATGGCCAGGGTCAACGGCGGCGTGGTGTATTCCGCAAATATGCCCGACTGTGAGGGCGGTCACAAGCCGGCGTGAGTAGGTTAAACGTTGAGTTTTATAAGGGCACCACGGGGTGACCAGCCCCTCCCCACCCTCCCCTCTCCACCCAGCCCGACCCCTCCCATTTTTGGATGCACGACGGACGGACGGACACAATAATCCCCTGTGGACTAGTGGAACCAGGTGGTTCCTACCAGTAAAATGTTTACAGTTAAGAACCACACTAGGGACGTACCGTTACGCCGCGCAATTGCACAACGCTCGCCACGAGGTGGCGCTACTTGACCCTGATCCCGAAGGCTGCCGAATGGTGGAACGTCGCACGTGCCAATTTAAAGCCCCTCTCAGTGGGAGGGGTGACGTCGCCACGGCAAGTTGTGCCAGGCTAGGTGCACTTTGTGGCCACGTGAAGTGTCGAAGGCTCGCTGGCAGGAGGTGCCATGGGTTGGGTAAACGAAATAAACGCCCAATTTGAAACCCGCATATCGCAAGCTCCTACTGGCTTTGGCATTGCTCCTCGAAGACACCGGTGTAGCCATCATCACTCACCAACTCACTCATCAACTAACTCACTCACCAACTCACTCACCACCGGTGTACCCATCAACTCACTCACCAACTCACACACTCACCAACTCACTCACCAACTCACACACTCACCAACTAACTCACCACCGGTGTAGCCATCAACCCACTCACCAACCCACTCACCAACTTACTCACCAACTCACTCACTCACCAACTCACTCACCCACTCACTCACCAACTCACTCACCACCGGTGTACCCATCAACTCACTCACCAACTCACTCACTCACCAACTCACTCACTCACCAACTCACCAACTCACTCACCACCGGTGTACCCATCAACTCACTCCCCAACTCACTCCCTCACCAACTCACTCATAAACTCACTCACCACCTGTGTACCCATCAACTCACTCACCAACTCACTCACCAACTCACTCACTCATCAACTCACTCACCAACTCACACACTCACCAACTCATCAACTCACTCACTCATCAACTCACTCATCAACTCACTCACCAACTCACTCACTCATCAACTCACTCATCAACTCACTCACCAACTCACACACTCACCAAATAACTCACCACCGGTGTACCCATCAACTCACTCACCAACTCACTCACCAACTCACTCACTCATCAACTCACTCACCAACTCACACACTCACCAACTCATCAATTCACTCACTCATCAACTCACTCATCAACTCACTCACCAACTCACTCACTCATCAACTCACTCATCAACTCACTCACCAACTCACACACTCACCAAATAACTCACCACCGGTGTACCCATCAACTCACTCACCAACTCACTCACCAACTCACTCACCAACTCACACACTCACCAACTCACTCACTCACCAACTCACACACTCACCAACTCACTCACCAACTCACTCACCGCCGGTTTACCCATCAACTGACACACTCACCAACTCACACACTCACCAACTCACTCACTCACCAACTCACTCACCAACTCACACACTCACTCACTCACCAACTCACACACTCACCAACTCACACACTCACCAACTCACTCACTCACCAACTCACACACTCACTCACTCACCAACTCACACACTCACCAACTCACACACTCACCAACTCACTCACTCACCAACTCACTCACCAACTCACACACTCACTCACTCACCAACTCACACACTCACCAACTCACACACTCACCAACTCACTCACTCACCAACTCACACACTCACTCACTCACCAACTCACACACTCACCAACTCACACACTCACCAACTCACTCACTCACCAACTCACTCACCAACTCACACACTCACTCACTCACCAACTCACACACTCACCAACTCACACACTCACCAACTCACACACTCACCAACTCACACACTCACCAACTCACTCACTCACCAACTCACACACTCACTCACTCACCAACTCACACACTCACCAACTCACACTCACCAACTCACACACTCACCAACTCACCACTGGTGTACCCAGCAACTGACACACCAACTCACTCCCCAACTCACTCACCAACTCACACACTCACTCACCATTGGTGTACTCACAAACTCACTCACCATTGGTGTACCCATCAACTCACACTCACCAACTAACTCACCAACTCACACACTCACCAGCTCATACACTCACCAACTCACACACTCACCAACTCACTCACTCACCAACTCACACACTCACTCACCATTGGTGGCCGGCGCCTAACACGGCGGCCGGAACCAAAAAACGTGACCCGGACACCGCGGAAACAATTTACCGTCGCCGGCCACCGCCGCCGCCGACGACACTTCCATGAAAACACTTCCATCAGACGTGAAGAACAACAACCAAAAACCACGACGATAAGTTAGTAAGAAGAAAACAACAACAACAACAACAACATTCGTACGAACGAATCGCGCGTTACATGCGCGCGTGTTCGCAAAGATACGTTTTAGAAAAAAAATTCGGAACCAAAATCGCTTTGCGACTCGTTGAGAACTGCCGTACCGACTTTCCCCCACCCACCGGAGCGGAAGCACGTGGGTTTCGCCTGGTGCTTCTCTCCACGTGCGTCTCGCTTGGTGCTTCTCTCCACGTGCGTCTCGCTTGGTGCTTCTCTCCACGTGCGTCTCGTCTGGTGCTTCTCTGCACGTGCTTCTCAAGACGCGTTGGTGCTTCTCTGCACGTGCGTCTCGCCTGGTGCTTCTCTGCACGTGCGTCTCGTCTGGTGCTTCTCTGCACGTGCGTCTCGCCTGGTGCTTCTCTCCACGTGCGTCTCGCCTGGTGCTTCTCTGCACGTGCGTCTCGCCTGGTGCTTCTCTGCACGTGCGTCTCGCCTGGTGCTTCTCTCCACGTGCGTCTCGCCTGGTGCTTCTCTCCACGTGCGTCTCGCCTGGTGCTTCTCTGCACGTGCGTCTCGCCTGGTGCTTCTCTGCACGTGCGTCTCGCCTGGTGCTTCTCTCCACGTGCGTCTCGCCTGGTGCTTCTCTGCACGTGCGTCTCGCCTGGTGCTTCTCTGCACGTGCGTCTCGCCTGGTGCTTCTCTCCACGTGCGTCTCGCCTGGTGCTTCTCTGCACGTGCGTCTGGCCTGGTGCTTCTCTGCACGTGCGTCTCGCCTGGTGCTTCTCTGCACGTGCGTCTCGCCTGGTAGCTTCTCTGCACGTGCGTCTCGCCTGGTGCTTATCTCTGCACGTGCGACTCGCCTGGTGCTTCTCTGCACGTGCGTCTCGCTGGTGCTTCTCTGCACGTGCGTCTCGCCTGGTGCTTCTCTGCACGTGCGTCTCGCCTGTGCTTCTCTGCACGTGCGTCTCGCCTGGTGCTTCTCTGCACGTGCTTCTCGCCTGGTGCTTCTCTGCACGTGCATCTCGCCTGGGGCTTCTCTGCACGTGCGTCTCGGCGTATGGGGGTGTCTCTCCATCCCCCTCACCCCCCACTACCACCCCCCCCCCCAACCACTCTAACCACCCCTAACCCCCCCAACCACCCCCCCCTAACCACCCCCCCCCTACCACCCCCCCCTAACCACCCCCCCTAACCACCCCCCCCTAAACCCCCCCCTAGCCACCACCCCCCCTAACCACCCCCCCCCAACCACCCCCCCCTACCACCCCCCCTCACCCAACCCCCCCTCACCGCCGTGTCAGGCGCCGGCCGAATGGGGGAAGCGGCCACGCAGCAGCGGGCTCCACTGGGAGCCCCCCCCCGCGTCTCGCCTCGAGACCCGCGCGGACGACGAGGAGGAGGAGGTGGACGAGGAGGAGGTGGACGAGGTGGAGGAGGAGGACGGGCTGCCCGGGTTCTACTGTGAGATCCGTAGCGGGAGTCGAACCGCCCACTTGGTGCTGAGGTACGCGGCTCCGGGAGTCTCAATGCGGCCTTGGCGGGAGGGCCTTGCCAAGGCCGGCTCCGATTTAAGTAACTATGGGGCCGTACGTAAATGACGTCACGCGATTTTGGTTGATTTTTGACCCCCCCCCCCCCCGCGTCACACGGCGTCACAAAAAGTCAGACCCCCCCCCCTCAAATATGACGTCACAAAGCTCTGCCCCCCCCCCCCCAAAATATATAAAATATGTTTCATCGACGCACACACACACACATAGCCGCACACACACACATAGCCGCACACACACACATAGACGCACACACACACATATAGACGCACACACACACATAGCCGCACACACACACATAGCCGCACACACACATAGACGCACACACACACATATAGACGCACACACACACATATAGACGCACACACACACATAGACACACACACACAGACACACACACACATAGCTGCACACACACACACAGACGCAACACACACATAGACACACACACACACATAGACACACACACATAGACGCAACACACACGCAGACGCAACACACACACAGACACACACACATAGATGCACACACACGCGGCGCGTCTCGGCGTTGTCGTCACCACCCAGTCGCCGTGTCTCCTCCGCGTGCAGGGACGTGCGCACCGAGGGCCCCGTGCTGGTCGAGGCCTCCCGCGTGACCGTGCGCGCCGGCGCCCGCGACCTCCTCGTCGCCCTCCCGCCGGGCGTTACCGCCGACCCCGGGGCCACCGGCAGCGTCCGCCCGGTCCCCGAAGACGGGACCCACGTGAGCCTGCGGCTCCACGCGCCGCAGAGCCTCTTTGCCGCAGGTCCGTCGCGGCGCGGGGGGGGGGGGGGGTTGGTGGGTCGCGTGACGAGGTGCCGCACGCATCTCTCTGGCTTGCGACGAGGTGAAGGCGGCGTGGCAAAGTTGGGGACTAATATCAGCTGTCCCTTCTGGACACGATATGACCCGTGCGGAACAGGGGGGCACATGCAAACTCCATGGCCGAGTTGGCAATCGAACCTTCTTGCGGCGAGGCACAATTGTTACCACTGCGCTGCTACCCGGCCACACGTAATAACTGAGAGTGATGATGGTGATGACGGCGATGATGATGGTGATGACAGGACTATGCCGACGTGTTAAACAGGACTACGTCTTTGTCCGTGTCCAGGCTCGAATGCCCGACCTGTGGTGCAGCAGATCCGCGAGCAGACCACTCCGCACTTCTCATGCCAAGCGTGTGGAGCTTCACTGCTGCGACCTGGAGAGTAAGGGTTAAACTCTCGCATCGATCCGCACCGAGACCCAGAGACTCACGTAGACCCGCACAGAGATCCAGATACTCACATAGACCCGCACTGAGACCCAGAAACTCACATAGACCCACACCGAGACCCAGGGACTCACATAGACCCGCACTGAGACCCAGAGACTCACATAGACCCGCACTGATACTCAGAGCCTAACATAGTTTAAGTTTATTTAGTTTGACCAGGTGCAAATTTAAGAGACCAGAATGAGCCTCATTTGTGTAAACTTTCGATTTCGTCAAGTTCGGACCAAGCCATCGGTACACAATGGCCTACGATTGCCAACGCTGTCAGGAGATCTTTAACGTCCCCTGTGTCTCACCCTCCGCCGCCCGTGCACCCTCCTTGCCGGCACCAGGCCGTTCCGGCGGGTGCTGCCGCTGCCCTCGTGCCACTGGCAGGCGATGGTGAGCGAGTGGTGTTGCCACGGCGGGGGTGCCCGCGTGGACTCGCTGGCACGCACCCCCCTGGGCCCCCGTGCGGGCGACTGCCTCGTGGGCGACACGCACCTCGTGCTGCACGCTGGCAGCCTGGGAACGGCGGTACGAGTCGCTCGCTTGCAGGCACGCCTGTTGGCTCGCTCGCTCGATCGATTGCTCATTCAATCGCTCGCTCGCTCACTCGCTCGTTGGCTCGCGCGCTCACGGACTTGCCCGCTCGCTCCATCCCTCGCCCATTCACTCGCTCGTTGGCTCGCTCACTTGCTCACGAGCTCACCCGCTCACTCATTCACTCGCTCACTCCATCGCTTGCTCAATCACTCATTGGCTCGTGCGCTCACTTACTCACTCGCTTGCATGTTCACCCCCTCGCTCCATCACTCAATAATTCACCTTGCTCGTTTGCCCGTTTGCTCACTTGCTAACTTGCTCGCTCACGCGCTTCCCCGCTCTCTCGCTCATTCGCTAACTCACTTGCTCGCTCACCACGCGCTCGCACACCCTGATTTATGATTCGTCTTCTTTGTTTCTAGGCTGCACACACACTTCTTCTGCCTGATGATGGCGTTTCAAGTTCACCCCCCCTCCCCACCGCCGTCTCTGCCAGGTTCGGTGGCACCGCGACGTCGCTTCGGAAGTCGCGGCGCCGGACTCCGACCTCGGCGCCCGTCCCGCGGCCCCGCTGGAGAGCGGCGACCCCTGCCGCCACCCCCAGCGCGGGGCAACCGGCGCGGTGGGCGCCGCCGAGGGAGAGGGGCGGCACGCGGAGGGTCGGAGGTCGCCGCTGCCGCCGCCACGCCCGCCGCTGGGCAAGGCCAAGGCCGAGTTGCGGTGCGAGCAGTGCGGCCGTGTGCTCGGGGAGGCGCTGGGAGCAGGTGAGACATACGACGTTTCGGGCAATGGCCCTTGTTCAGACGAAAACCCACACGTGTGTGTTGATGTACACGTACCAGGTAAGGCCCACTTTGCTTGATGATTCTTTTTCAGAAGTGACCTGACCACGAATGACAGCGCAACGAAGTGGCTTATCGTCACGTGGAAATTTACAGCAGCCAAATGCTCTAAACGCGTGTTTCGAAACCGGTCGTGGGCTTTCGCGAGGTTCGATGATGATGATGACGACGGTGACGTCCCACCGATGGTTGTGTCGCACCGCAGAAGGCGCCAAGTTGTTCCTCACCGAGGTGTGCGTTGGAGGAGTTGAGGAGACACTGCCGCCTCCGCACTCTGCCAACCCGAGGTGACGGCTCCTTACGAGCCCTCGCAAGAACGCGCGTGCGTGTGTGTGTGCGCGCTCACAACAACGAGCGGAGCGCCGGGTGACTAAAGCACAGCAAGTTGGCACAGTATGGGGCACAGGTGGTGCATCGGCCAGTAATCTCAGTCACCTCAGTCAGTCGACCCGTGGCACCTGGGTCTGCCCTGTGACCTGGCAGCGGGCGTTCGACACTTCACGTGGCCTCAAGGTGCACATGGCCTGGCATAAGCGTCATGGTGACGTCACCGCCACTTAGTGGCGAATGGCGGTTGTTGTTGTGTGCGCGCGTGCATGTGGGTGAGCGTGGGGAGCGGTGGTGTAGCGGTTGGCGCGCTGCTCTACGAACTCGGCGACCCGGGTTCGATTTCCGCTCACGGCCGATACCAGTGACGATTATCTGAACCGGTTCTGAGCCTCCCCTAGGTCGACTCAGCCTCAAATGAGTACCTGGTGCGGTGTGTAGACATCGCCACTGGGGAGACAAAGGCGGCCGGGCGTGGTGCTGGCCAGCCACCCCCTCGTGTGCCGTACCGGCCTTCATAGGTGTTCGCTAACAGCACTTGCCCCAAACAGTCTGTTAAGGCTACACGGGGGATATTTGTCTTTTTTTCGTGTGTGAGTGTGGCTGGAGCGGTGGCGCAATGGTTAGCGCACTGCGCTGCTAACCTGCTCACGGCCAACACCAGTGACGAACATCTCCTGGGTTGACCCTCCATCAAATCCGTAAACATCAGCACCGGTTGAGATGAACGTGGCCGGAGTGATGCCAGCCACACCGCCACCATCTAGAGCCAGCGCCGGCCCCTTCATAGGTGCTCGCTAACAGCACTTGCCCCAACGTGCTAAAGGCTACACGGGGTGGCGGCGACCTTTGTCTTGGCGTGGTCGCAGGTCGTGGTTCCTGGAGCGGCTGCTGTCCCAGCAGCTGCTGCTCATCTCCACGACGCTGTGCAGCTACCGATTCCGCGTCGAGGACCCGCGGGGCGACACGAGACTGCTGGTGAGCCCGGCGAAGGGTGAAGCCGCCGGAGGGAGGACCGGTTCGGAATCTGAATCGCGATGTTGATTTTTTTTTTTTTATACCCCTTTCCCCCGGAGATGTCCGATGAGCCGTGAGGGACATTTTTTTATTACACGCTTTTAATTAACTTACTCTGTCTGTTGTTGTCGTATCCTCAAAAAATCTTGTAACTCAATTTTTACCCACTTCCCAATGTCGTATCGACTACAAACTTGGTATACGTATGTCATACTGGTGACAATACTATATTCTATCATTAAAAAAAAAAAAATATTTTTAAACAATCTTTTTATATGTTATGTTCCGGCTTGGGTCTAATTGTCCACGCTCAACTCACGTTGGCTGTAAATCACCACGCGGCAAATTATCCGGCGAGTCGTCACCATCGTGTTGCTGGCTCCCCATCCCTTCTGCCCCCCCCTCCCTCCCCCCAGCTGTGGGTGCTCAACAGCGACACGCTGCTGCTGCAGCAGAGTCCCCGTGGCGGCGGCGGTGAGTCCGTGGCGCCGCAGTGCCACCGCGTCCTCAAACTGCTCTACCGCCACGCGGGAGGAGACGCGGCCACCTCGGCCACTTCGGCAGGCCGGTGGGTGGCAGGGCCCTGGGGCCGGTGGGTGGCAAGGCCCTGGGCCACGGAGGCCCTCAGCCGCGACCACCCACCGCGTCTCCCCGTTTGGGTCGCGTGCGGCGGCACAGTTCGCGCTCGGCACGCCGGGGCTGGTTTAGAGGTTGTGCACCGCGCGTGGCTGAGATGTTAACTCCCTCGCCCGGTATACAGGAGGTCGAAGGCTCGATCCCAATCCTGACGCCTGCTGCTGTATATTTGGGGTTTGATTGTCTCTCCTCGTGGTCGTGTGGATTTTTCTCCGGGTCCTCCGGTTTTTCTCCTCCACGTTTTGAGTCGACGTGCGTTTTAGCGTTTTAGAGTATTTTCCTGCTATAAATTTCCACGTTACGAGCCACTTCGTTGGGCTATCGTTTGTGGCCAGGTCGCTTCTGAAAAAGAGCGACGTAGCTCAGTGTGGGCCTTACCTGGTAAAATAAAAAGTTTTATTTTTAAGAATCCGTGTTCTAAAAGAGCAACCCTGTTCCCCCTCCTCTCCCGACCTCTGACCTGGCCCACGCCTTCACCCTCGGTGGTGGCGGTGACGCGGCCCCCCCCCCCCCCCCCAGCGGTCGGCCGCGTTCGCCGCTCGCTGCAGAGGCTTCGCGGTTCGAACCCGGCGGCTGCCCTGGTCAATGCTGCGGCGGTGGCGCCACCGTCGTATTAGCCGTAATGAGACGGCTGCAACGCGCGGGTCCGCTTCGCTCTGGAGTGGACGTCAAAAGATCCTGCTCGCCGTCGTTCGCAAAGCCTAGTGCCGGTGTGATGGTCCACATTTGCCTAATTAGCTTCAAAAAATTACACCGCACATTGGGACGATACACAACGAGCAATCATCGGCCCCGTGGCTGCGAAAACTTTGGGGCCGGACCCTCCTGGGAGTCGGGAGTTAAAAAAAAAAAACTCGGCGAGGCTCGTATTCCAAACCAGACTTTCCTGGTTAAACAAGTAGAATAATAAATGATAACAATAACACACCCCCCACCGCCACCACCACCCACAGCTCGGCGCTCCCAGTCCCCCCGTGCCTCACCCCCTCCCGCCTGTTCCTTGTTGACGAATCGCCGTGCGCACGAGCGGCGGGAGCCGTGCTGTGCGCCGTTGGAGGCGTCTGCCGCGGGTTATTCTTCTGCGCACTTTCGTTTTTTTGCTCGCTCGCTCGTTCGCCAGCTTAGCGGCGAGCGAATTGAGCGAGCGCTCCGGTCCCACCGCTCCGCTCTGACCTTTAGCGTCTCGCTCGTTTGTTATCGTCTCCGCCCGTCGGAAGGGACGGCAGAGTAAACAACGTTCTCCGAGCGACCGTTAAAGCTGACGTGCGTCGGCGTGTGCGCGTGTGTGCGTGCGTGCGCGCGTCAGTATAAACATCGTCACTGGGGAGACAAAGGCGGCCGGGCGTGGTGCTGACCACCCACCCCGTCATGTGCCGTTCCAGCCTTCATCGGTACTCACTAACAGCACTTGCCCCAACAGTCTGTTAAGGCTACACGGGGGGTCTTTGTCTTTCTGTGTGTGGGCAGCGGTGGTGTCGCGGTTAGCGCGCTGCGCTGCAAACCCGGCAAAGACCCGAGCGTGGTTCCCGCTCGTGGCCACCACCAACACCGGTGACGATTATCTAAACCGGTTCTGGGCTTCCCCTACATCGACTCGGCCTCAAATGAGCTACTCGTGTGATGCGTAAATATCGTGGGAGACAAAGGCGGCCAGGCGTGGTGCTGGCCACCCACCTCCTCGTGTGTCATTACCGGCCTTCATAGGTGCTCGTGAACAGCACTTGTCCCAACAGTCTGTTTAAGGCCACACCGTGGAGGGATGTTTGTGTGTGTGTATAAGCTGGCCGTGTGTGTGTATGTAGTGTACGTACGTTTGTCAGCAGAGGGCAGCGCAGAAAATAGTTTCCTTATGCTGCTAAATGTATGCTCCCCACCTTCACCCACCGTCAGTGCCCAGCGTGGTGAAGAAGTGTCGTCACACAACCTCATCCGGTAGTGGATTGGCAAATGGCCTCTACATTTACGCATGCACACATGGTATCATCATCATTATTATTATCATTACGCTTACTTGCCCTGAAAGCAAAGCCTCGCTGAGTCTCAAGACTCTTTTTCAGGAGGGTCCTGCCGGGTATTCGCAGCAGGAGATCGATATTGCTGCTGCTGCTGCGTGATTCCGATTGAGGAGTTTGCAGGCGATCTTTCCCCATTTGGGGTGCTTTGACCGATACCGGTTCCATAGTGGGTTGCTTTGCTGCTGTGTTGTAATCTGTTGGAGGAAATCGGAGAACCCGGAGAGAAACCCACGCAGAATGGGGAGAGAGTGAGAGAGAGCACACATGACTGTATGTTTGGAGATGTCTCTCTCTCCCCCCATGGTCGCGTGGATTTTTCTCCGGGCCCTCCGTTTTTTCCCCTCCACATTCATAATTGACACGTGTTTTAGAGTATTTCGCTGCTATACATTTCCACGTGATAAGCAACTTCGTTGAGCTATCCATTTGCGATAGCCAAGTCGCTTCTGAAAGAAGAGCTACACTGCTCAGTGAGCCTTACCTGGTTAAATAAAAAGTTTAGTTTTCGTTTAGTTTACCACGGTTTGGTTCCGGCTCTGTTCGGCAAACAGGGCCCGGTGGAACAAAAACAACCGTGCTCCGAAAGCCCCGTGCCGGCTGGGCTCAGATGTGCCAGTGGAAAAAGAAGCGCGTGTTATACCCCGAGCATTGCATTGCATCTCTTCCACTGTTAGGGCTGCGAATCGAATCGGCGTCCCAGTGCAAGCTTGCTCAACGTGCCTGCCTGCGTCCCCCTCCGTGTCTCTCCGCTAGCGTCGCGGTTCGCGCGCTGCTCTACGAACCCGGCGACCCGAGTTCAATTCCCGCTCACGGCCACCAACATCTGAACCGGTCCTAGGCCTCCCCTAGGTTGACTCAGCCTCAAATGAGTACCGGGTGCGGTGTGGAGTAAACATCGACACCGGGGAGACAAAGTCGGCCGGTGCGTTGTGCTGGCCACCCACCCCCGTCGTGTGTCGTGCCGGCCTTCACAGGTGCTGCTCGTTAACAGCACTTGCCCCAAAACAGTCTTCTGAGGTTATCTTTGTCTCTGTTGGTGGCCCGTCCGTGTGTTTCTGCGTGTCACAGCGAGGACGAGCTGTGGGCGCGGGACGTGAAGGCCCACGACCTGTGCCTGCCCAGCGGTGCGTGCGCCGAGCTCTCCGCTGTGCTTAGCGCCAGCTCCCAGCTCGCTCCGCCCTCGCTCCGGGACGTCAACAACTTCCGGGTGAGGATGATCGCTCTCCCCGCGCCTCCTCCTCCTCCTCCGCTCTCCTCCAGCTCCCGTGTCTCCTCTGCTCTAGCTCCCGTGTCTCCTCTCCTTCCCGTGTCTCCTCTCCTTCCCGTGTCTCCTCTGCTCTAGCTCCCATGCCTCCTCCAATTCCCATCCGGCGGGAATGACAACGAAATAATAATAAAAGTAGTAGTAAAATTACGAACTCCACGGCCGCCAAAGCAATGAAAGCGATAACTCCTCCGCCGATAATGCAGCCGCTCTCCACGCCACCCCCCCCCCCCCCCCCCATTGCGTTCATGCGAAAATAATTTAGCGTTCGTGTGCATGCGTGTGTAGCAGTCCGCACGCCGCGCTACCCGGCGGCCCCGAATTCGATTCCCGCTCACGGCCAACGCCGTTGACGGATTTTCTGAATCGATCCCAGGCCTCCGCTAGGTCCACTCGGCCTCGAATGAGTTACCCGGTGCGGTGTGCAGTAAACATCGCCACTTGGGGAGGCAAAGGCGGCCGGGCGTGGTTCTGAACGCACCACTCCCGTCGTGTGCCGTGCCGGCCTTCATCGGCGCTCGCTCACAGCGCTTGCGTTCTGTTAACGCGGGCCGGGGATCTCCCCCTGAGCGCGTGCGCAATTTCATTTCTTGCGCCGCTTGTTTTCGATGGAGGCGAAGCGATGTTGAGACATTAATCACACGTCCCTTCGGTTCTACCGCTCCGCAGGGAGGGGGGGGGGGTGCAGGCGACACAGAGCCTAGGGTCCAATCGCCCGGGATGATGACAGATCTAGGCACTTGTTTTTTGTCCGAGTCGACCTAGGGGAAGCACAGGACCAGTGTGCGGACAACGCTCGTCGCTCATGTTGAGCTGCCGGGATTTTTCAAAGGGCCGTGCGGTCATTGCTGCGCCACCGCTCCCCTCGTAGACACGGGTGCGCTCACACGCAAAGTAGTGTGCGCGCGTGCGTTTGCGCGCGCACGTGCGGGTATACACAAACACGTACACACTGGTGTAAAGCACACGCGCACACACACACACACACGACCTCCATGGGTGGCTGGGCGAGTGGCTGGCTGGGTCTGTGAGTGGCTGTGGGTGCTTGGTTCAGTGGGCCGGTTGCTGGGTGGGTGTCTGGGTGGGTGTCTGGGTTGGTGTGTAGATGTGTAGGTGGGTGGGTGTCTGGGTTGGTGTGTAGGTGTCTGTATGTGTAGGTGTTTGGGTGGGTGTCTGGGTTGGTCTGTAGATGTCTGGGTGGGTGTTTGGGTGGGTGTGTAGGTGTCTGGGTGGGTGTCTGGGTGGGTGTGTAGGTGTCTGGGTGGGTGTCTGGGTAGGTGTCTGGGTGGGTGTCTGGGTGGGTGTGTAGGTGTCTGGGTGGGTGTCTGGGTTGGTGTGTAGGCACTGTGGTGACATCACCGTCACTTTGTGGCAAATGGCGGGTACTGGTTATTATTGGGTGTGTAGGTGGCTGGGTGGCTAGATGCAGCATTCCTGGATGGGTTAGGTGGCTCATTGTGTAGTTGACTGAGTGGGCAGGTTGCTGGCTGGGTTGATAGGTGGGTGGGTATGTTACTGGGTATCTCGGTAGCTGGCCTGGGTAGCTGCGTGGGGTAACCGGCTGGGTAGGCGGGAACGGTTGTCAAAGGGGGACACGTGAAACAGCACCGCCTTGGAAGTGAGATCACGCCCCCCTGGGGCCGCTTCGTTCCTCGCCGAGGGAGAACCCTCCGCCGTTGACGCACGCACGCGCAACCGCGTGCGTGCGTCACGTGCATCGCGGAATTGGGACACGGGAGTGGGGGGGGGCTCAACAGGGCTTCTAGCAACGACGAGCCGAGGCCACGCCGTGGCCACGCTGTTGCCCCCGGCTCTGCGGGTTTCTCCGCTCCACGCCTCGGTGCGCACCGCGAGCCTCTCATCCGGTCTCCACGCCCACGTACCGTTAACCCGGCCCCCGCTCGCATCAGGAGGCGCGCGGGCGGGCTGGCGGGCGGGCGGGCGGACGATCGCCAACTCTCAACAACGGTGATGGGCGCCACGGGTGGCGAGATGTTAACTCCCTCGCCTGGTATACAGGAGGTCGAGGGTTCGAGCCTGACCCTGATGCCGACTGTATATTTTGGAGTTTGCGTGTCCCTCTCCCCGTGGTCAGGTGGATTATTCTCCGGGTCCTCCGATTTTTCTCTCCACGTTTAGAAACACGGGTTCAGAGTATTTTAGCTGCGATACGTTGCCACGTTCTAAGCCACTTCGTTGAGCTATCATTTGTGGGCCAGGTCGTTACTGAAAAAGAGCTGCATAGCTCAGTGGGCCTTACCTGGTTAAAGTAAAAAAAATGTGGAGCAACTGATATAATTTTATTACGAGGCAGTTGATGAGCCCCAGGTGATTGCATCGGGGAGTGGAGGAATGTTGCATCATCGCGGTTGATGATGATGCCTCCTTCATAGGGATCTCTTGGTCGGAGTCTGTGGGTCCCTATGTGAGTTCGTGGTTCTGTACGCGAATCTATAGATGTTTTATATATAACAGGGTCTCTATGCAAGTGTGTGGGTTTCAGTGTGAATCTATAGATTTGCCTTCTTCTTCTCTTTCACGTGGCTGATGTTTATGTCGAGAGCAGCAGCAGCTGTGATTTTACATCGAGGGGGTTTGATGATTGCGGAGTCAGGAGTAGCAGAGTGGTGCGTCGTCGCTGCTATTACGATGAAGCATCCTCCTCCGTGTTTGTGCATCGGTGACATCGAGCGCGCATTCTACGCTCCGTGGCTGTGTTCTCGGTAGTGATCACAGTCTTGGCACACCGGGACGCTCTGCCGTGGCGCACTGGTCAGCGCTTTGGTCAGCTCAAGCTCTGCTATCCTCTATATATTAAGGTGGTATTCGCCATTGAATAACGAGTGTTTGTGCATGTGGGAGGAAGCCAGAGCAGTGGGATGAAACACTCGAGTGCGAGGGGGAAACACTCTTTCCCATGCCACCGTCACCATCATCACCGCCGATGGCACCACCATCGCCACCACCGCCACCATCACCGCTGCCACCACCACCGCCACCACCGCCACCACCACCGCCGTTACCACCGCCGGCACCACCGCCACCACCGCCACCACCGTTGTCACCGCCACCACCGTTGTCACCGCCACCACCACCGTCACCACCACCACCACCACCGATGGCACCACCGCCGTCACCACCGGTGGCACCACCGTTGCCGCCACCACCGTTGTCACCGCCACCATCGTTGTCACCGTCACCGCCACCACCACTGCCACCACCGTTATCACCGCCACCACCATCGCCACCACCATCGCCACCACCACCGCCACCACCATCGCCACCACCACCGCCACCACCACCGCCACCACCGTTGTCACCGCCACCACCACCGTTGTCACCGTCACCGCCGCCACCACCACCATGCCGCTGTCTCTTCATCTCAATCTCATCGTCAATGCCGAGACACAGGCCGTGGCGCCCTCCTAGCAAGAGACGCGTTGTGCCCACGCCCGCTGCCAATTACCTCCCCTCCCCGCTCCCCCCCCCCCCCACCTCATAAATACAACAAAACCACAGCGCCAGCGTGATTACAGTGACCGAACCGTCCCATTACGCTCGAGATAATGAATCTTGACGGGGCCACACGGCACAGCAAAACAAATTAGCGGGGAAGCGTGTGCATGAGAAAAGTGCGTTATCGATGGCGCCGTTCTCCCGCCGCAGGATCATTCCGAGTCTTTGGGGTGTAATTACGACAACAATGACACTAATGAGAATAGCGAAGGCAAAGGCGCAGGCCTGCAATTGCGTACTCGCTCCACGGCTGGCAGAAGAGCGTCTCCCAACGGGGAAAGCTCTGGAGAGCCCCCCCCTCTCTCCCCGCCCTTTTTAGGAGAGTCATTTCTGGCTTGTTCTCTCATTTTTCATTTGCTTGTTGTGCGCGCGTGCAACGTAGCCAACCACTTCCATGGGATTTGATCCTCATATATATATATCTATAAAATTAATGTGCAACGTTGTGGGTAGCTGTCGGCACGAATGACGCCATATGTTCAATGAAAGCATCATTGTTATGATCATTACATCGGCCGGGCGTCCCGGAAGAAGAGGTGGCAGTACCCCACACTTTACCCCGCCACGCGGTGACGGTGACGACGATTCGGCGTGCGTCGCATGCAAGCTGTCGGCACAGATTGCGGGGGCAGGCGGGAAAATAACCAACCTCCCCCCCCCCCTTTCGCTTTTCCAATCCGGTGGGAATAGTTTTGTTTTAATGAGGACTAAGGCGCAGCCCCCGCAATGTCTCCGCTTCGCGCCACCGCTGGCGAAAGGGGCAGCCGCCCGAGGGGAGGCTCAAGAGAGGCGGCCCAGTCTATAGCGGGCGTCGGGCCTACCAGGGAAAGGCCTGCTCGAGTCTTTCAGGAGCGGGGGGTGGGGGGGAAGAGCGCTGCGCCACTATTCGGGGATGTTTTTTGCCGCGAATTCAGCGAGCAACGGGAAAGTTTTGGATCCGCGTGGGGGGAGGAGGAGGGAGGAAAACCGGAGAGACCCCCGAGGACACCCAGCGCTGCGTCGCTGCTGCGGGCGAGGGGGGCGACACTCGAGGCCACGCACGCTCGGGCGTCTTGGAAGATGCGGTGGTGGTGGGAGGAGGGGGGGGGGGAGTGCACACACTTTACTCCACCCGCCTGGGACACCTGCCGATCGGCAAACTGTTTGTTCGGCAACAAACTCTAAACTTTTTAGCTCGCTCGTCTTTAAACTCGGCGACCTCCTCCCACGATGCACCGCAGAGCAGCCCCCTCCCGGGCCCCGCGCGGTTAATGTCTCGAGTCGTTAGCGATCGCAGGAAGCCTGCCTTGAACGAGCCTTCGGCCTCCCGGCGCTCTGCCGCGCACGCGTAGAACGGCAGAGGGGCGGCTCGGACACTCCGCGGCAAGCTTGAAGTTTGCAACAACGACGATGACAAGGAAGACGCCGATGGGCGAGCACTTCCCCCGTTCCGAGACGTCGGCACGTCGCAGGGTGCGCTGTCCCGGAGCCCGTGAGCGGTTCGGCGTTCGTTTTTTTGTTTGCAGAAGGCATAGCAGCGCCGCTGTTTGTGAAGACCTTGTGACTCGCCGCGGAGAACCATAGTCGACACGACCGCCGACGCCGCCCTACGATAGCCGGCGCCAAACTGCGTCCCGCACGGCGTCCCGCACGGCGATTCCGTTTGGGATCGGGAAGAACAGCCGATGACGTACGCGTGCGCACGCCGTGGGGACGGGAGAGAGGGTCAATATTTTACTTCCAACTCGTAACGCGACAACGTCGCCGCCGTCGCCGCCGCGCAGGATTCCCTCCTCGCAGAGGGGGAGAGGCGCCAGCAAGAGGCACCGCAGAATCAGAGTCTTTATTTCGACTGCAGGATGAATCCGATGAGCTACGAAGCCCTTGTAATAATCATAATTGACATTTATGAGGCGCAATTCATCCGAGGGTCTCGGTGCGCCGTGCACCAAGTGAGGAAATGTAAATAGCTCAAAGTCCAGAGTCCACTGGTCGTGCATGGCAAGTGTAGGTCAGGCGAAACGGGCGAGTCTTGTTCACAGGTGTCCAGTATGAGCAGTAGCAACGGCCACACGATGGTGAGGAGTCACCGCCACCAACAGTCGCCCCCCAAGCTCTGCGATTCTCTGTATACGAAGGTGTTGTCGGCCGATTAGTGCTTGCGTGCGCGAGGAAACCAGGGCGCCCGGAGAAAACCCCACGAGTGCGAGGGTGCAACGCTCGATCTCATACAGATTGAACAGGTTGAGTCAACAACCCGCTGTGTGTACCGCCTTCTCTTGGGCGAGCTAGGGCACGTGCACCTCCCTGATGCCCACGGGTGAGAAGGGAGTTTCACAACTTCTGTGTGCGGCGATCCACGAACCCCCCGCGCTGCTGCCCTCGCTGCGCCGGATTGCAGGCAGCGGCCACGTGCGTCAGCGTAGCCACCACCACCACCACCACCACCGTCGATCGCCGCCCGGAGCTGATGATGCTGTTCACTTGCGTGGCGGATGGAGTTTGCTCGTGAGCGCTCGCATTCACGGTGCGCAACGCAGGATCGTCGCCGCTGCCCGCCGCCGGGGAGAATACGAGCACCAACACGGATGAGCGACGACAACACCTGCCCCCCCCCGTCTCTCTCGGCGTCAAAGATTTCTATGAAAGCAAAAAACAAACCCCCCAATGTTTAATGTTTACACGAGGAGACGCATGCAGCCCGAAACAATGCGTGGGTCGCCGCACTGCCTACGGCTCATGCTGGAGTCGGAGCAGCAGCAGCAGCAGGAGAAGCAGCAGGAGAAGGAGAAGCAGCAGCAGGAGGAGGAGCGGGCGAGCGTTTGTGCTGCGAGTCGTTTACCGGGTACCCCTCCGCCACAGGTCTTGACACGCCACTTAATGGAGGTCGCGACCTCTCCTTTACCCAGAACTCCCTGCCCGCAATCCCGCGGGTCCGCGCCCCACCAAACCTAATTTTTGGCACTCCGGCTGCTCCCCCCCCTCCCGTCGTGCCGTCTTGAAAATGTTGGCAACGTCACTGCCCGGAGGAGGAGGATGTGGCGGTGGTACGCGACGGTGCGACAATGTGTCCCGATTGAGCGATCTAAATCGATTTGTCGTGCGTATGCGCGTGCGTGGCGTGTCTGTGAATTGCTATTCCTATATATACCCGTGGTGAAGTATGATCAAACGACCACACCCCCCCTCCCCCCCTCCATGATGACCTGCTTGGCATGGGGAAGTGTCGGTTCAGCATGAGAGTGACACGATCCTGTGTGTTCACGTGTTTGGCTGTGGCGTTAAAAGTTAAAACCCTTGGACGTGACACAGAGGCCCCCTTGCAAGCACTGTTAGCGAGTGCCTATTAAAGCCGGCAAGGGCACACAAGGGGGGGGGGGGAGCAGTGTGGCCGGCCGTGCGACCTTTGTCTATCCGTGGTGCCGACATTTACACCGTGCACCAGGTACTCGTTGTTTTTTTTTAAAGGCTGAGTCGACCTTGGGGATGCCCAAGACAGGATTAGATGTCCACCACCGATGTTTCTAGCCGTGAGCGGGAATCGAAACCGCAGGGCGCTCAAACCACTGCACCTCCGCTCCCCAATGCATACATGCAAAGGTAAAGATCCCCCACCGCCCCGTATAGCCTTAACAGACTTTTGGGACAAGTGCGTTGAGCGAGCACCTATGAAGGCGGGTACGGCAAACGAAGGGGGTGGGTGGCCAGCACCACGCCCGGTCGCCTTTGTCTCCCTAGTGGCGATGTTCACACATCGCACCAAGTACAGACTTGAGGCCGAGTCGACCTAGGGGAGGGCCCAGATAATCGTCACTCCTGTTGACCGTGAGCGGGAATCTTTAGCCGAGCTCGTCGCGCAGTGCGCTGACCGGCACGCCTTCTGCCGCGATAAGTAACATCCGCACAGACGCGCACACGCATTGACGTACGCGCGGTGCCAATGGCGCGCGTGCCCAGGTACGACACGCGCTCGCCGCTCGCCTCACCTGTGCAAACGGAGGAGCTCGGCGTACCTGCAGCTGGTTCACCGGGGCGGCGTGCCGGAGTCCGAGCCGTGCGCCTCCGTGATGGACGGCGAACGCACCACCGCTGAGCCGCATTTTTCCCACCCCATGAGTGTCTCTCTCCCCCCCCCCCCCCCCCCCTGTTGTTTTCATCTCCCCCTGCTCCTTACAGGTCGGGCACTTGAGGCTGGCCTAATGGACGTGAGACCCTCCCCCATATGCAAGCGGCGTCATCGTTCTCTCTGAAGAGGGACCCCCCCCCCCCCCCGAGTGCGCGCTGGGTGACAAGGACGTCCACCGATTCAAGTCTACGGTGGCTCAGAAGTCGGCGTCGCCCAGCCGGCCCCATTGACAAGCCTGGGTTCGAGTCCGGGTTTCGGTCATCCGCGAACAAACCGGGAGCTGGGGCTTGGTGAGTTGATGGTCTCGGCCCGGCACACCACAAATGGCTGCATCAACAACAACAACAACAACAAAAACCATCGCATTCAATTTGGTTTTGCATTGACTTTGTCGACATTCCAGCTGTTGAGACATCAATTGACTCGGTCTGGCTGTCACCTGATGAACCTCGCTGTCACGTGGCAGAGCTGGGTGGGTAAAAGTGCTGCCCTCTGCTGTGTGTGGACCATAAATCACTTGAAGAAGGCATCTCGGAGGTGGCTCTGCGACATCCGCTTCCCCGGGCCGCTCTCGGGTAACACGAAGCGTCGCGCTGCTCTGCGAGATCTCCGAATGGATTCTCCGTCTCGTGATGACGACGCAACACCAATAGCGCGATCTGTAATAAAACGGAGGGGGGAGGGGGGGGGGGGTTTGGGGGAAAACGACAAAATGAAATAAATGTAAAACGAAAAAAATCCACGTCAGTCTTTATTTCGTGAATCCGCGTTCACCACTAAGAGTCTCCAAGACAAAAAAATAAAAACGTGAGAAAGTCTAATTGAAAATAAAATGTCACCAACTCCTTTCCCCGTGGGTGTCTAGGGGGTAGTCATACCCTGGCTCGCCAGGAGAGGGCAGTGCAGCGACAATGCGGACGCCACCTGCTCCGTCGGCGTGTAATATCGAGCGTTGCGCCGTCGCACGCGTGGGGTTTCTCATGCGTGCGTGGTGGACTTTGGCCCCCGGTTCAGTGCCGGTGATGTCGGGGAGAGTCGGACGGTTGTCAGGTTCGGTGTCTAGTTGGTGGCGCTGCTGCTGCATTCGGCAGGACGTGCACCAGCACAGTCGGCAACACAACTTTGTTTGCGTGTCATGAAGAAGGGCGGTTGCCTGAAACGTCACCAGTTTCCTTTTGAGGACTGTCCCCCCCCCCCCCCCTCCAAAAAAAACATGCTTAAAATCGCTTTAAACTATTGTCATTGTAAGTGATGCATTTTGATGTGACGTCACATTTCTCAACCCCCCCCCCCCCCTTCGTCACACATCGTCACAAATGTCTGACCCCCCCTCGGTGCGTGACGTCATTCATGGACGGCCCCATGGTTGTCAATCCATCCATTTCAATAGGGGCAACAAAAACAGATAAGGCACCACTGAGCTACATTTTTTTCATAGAAACGACCTGGCCACAAATGAAGGATCAAGGAAGTGGCTTATCATCATGTGGACATTTATAGCAGCAGGCAAATACTCGAAACGGATTTTGTTGAGTCTAAATGTGGGAGGAAGAACCGGAGGACCCGGACAAAAAATTCCCACGCGACCACGGGGAGAGCGAGAGACACCGCAAACTCCAAATATACAGCAGCAGCAGGCGTCAGGATCGGGATCGAACCCACGACCTCCTGCAAATCAGGCGAGGTAGTTAACATCTCCTAGCCACCGTGATGATGAGAGAGAGAGACACCACAAACTACAAGTATACAGCAGGCGGCAAGGTCGGGATCGTACCCACGGCCTCCCGTTTACCAGGCGAGGTAGTTAACATCTCATACCCACCGTGATGATGATGAGAGCGAGAGACACGCAAACTCAAAATATACAGCAGGCGTCGTCGGGGTCGAGATCGAACCCACGACCTCCTGTATACCAGGCGAAGTAGTTAACATATCATAGCCACCGTGATGATGAGAGAGAGAGACACCACAAACTACAAGTATACAGCAGGCGGCAAGGTCGGGATCGTACCCACGGCCTCCCGTTTACCAGGCGAGGTAGTTAACATCTCATACCCACCGTGATGATGAGAGCGAGAGACACGCAAACTCAAAATATACAGCAGGCGTCGTCGGGGTCGAGATCGAACCCACGACCTCCTGTATACCAGGCGAAGTAGTTAACATATCATAGCCACCGTGATGATAGTGAGAGAGAGAGACGCAAACTCAAAATATACAGCAGGCGTCGTCAGGGTCGGGATCGAACCCACGACCCCCTGTATACCAGGCGAGGTAGTTAACATCTCATAGCCACCGTGATGATGATGAGAGAGATGCAAACTCAAAATATACAGCAGGCGTCGTCAGGGTCGGGATCGAACCCACGACCTCCTGTATACCAGGCGAGGTAGTTAACATCTCATAGCCACCGTGATGATGATGAGAGAGACGCAAACTCAAAATATACAGCAGGCGTCGTCAGGGTCTGGATCGAACCCACGACCTCCTGTATACCAGGCGAGGTAGTTAACATCTCATAGCCACCGTGATGATGATGAGAGAGACGCAAACTCAAAATATACAGCAGGCGTCGTCAGGGTCGGGATCGAACCCACGACCTCCTGTATACCAGGCGAGGTAGTTAACATCTCATAGCCACCGTGATGATGATGAGAGAGACGCAAACTCAAAATATACAGCAGGCGTCGTCAGGGTCGGGATCGAACCCACGACCTCCTGTATACCAGGCGAGGTAGTTAACATCTCATAGCCACCGTGATGATGATGAGAGCGAGAGACACGCAAACTCAAAATATACAGCAGGCGTCGTCAGGGTCGGGATCGAAACCACGACCTCCTGTATACCAGGCGAGGTAGTTAACATCTCGCCACCGTTGCACCCAGCGAAGTGTCTCCCATACGCTTGCCAATCGCAGCGACTGCCAGCAGAGAGTTGAACGCGGCGTGACCGCGAGCTTGGGGCCGATTTTAATTAAGAATCATTCACCTCCACACAGCAGGCCCCTGGTGGGGGCGAGGGGGCAGGGAGCGAGGGGGGAGGGGGGAGGGGTATTTGGGGGGATGAAAGCGCCGTTCCGCTGACCACAATCTTCTTGGCGGGGGACGCAGAGACAAAGGCCCCCCGTGTAGCCTTTCACAGACCGTTGGGGCAAGTGCTGTTAGCGAGCACCTATAAAGGCCGGAACGGCACGGGAAGGGTTGTGGGTGGTGCCGAGCGCCGAGCCCGCCCGCCTTTGTCTCCCCAGTGGCGATGTTTTACCCACCGCACCAGATACTCATTTGAGGCGGGGCCTCCCCTAGATCGACTCAGCACAAAGGCAAAGAACCCACCCCCGTGTAGCCTTTCGCAGACTTTTGGCGCACGCACTGCACCAGGTACTCATTTGGACGTGGGGGGGGAAGGGGGGTGGATGGGCCTCCCCTAGGTCGACTCAGCACAAAGGCAAAGATCCCACCTTTCGCAAACTTGGCGCACGCACTGCACCAGGTACTCATTTGGACGTGGGGGGGGGGGGGAAGGAGGGAGGGGGTGGCTGGGCCTCCCCTAGGTCGACTCGGCACGCACACGCGCGCGCTGGCTGAGCGGCGTACTCAGCGCGTCGAGGTGCGTGGATCACCCCCCCGAAGTTGCCCTGAGACCCGCGAGTCGGAGCCATGCACACGTGGTCGTCACGCTGCGCTCTGCCATGCCCCCGTCTGCCCAGATCAACACCTCCTCATTCCTTTCAGCTGCCACTCTTCCTTGCTTCTTCGTGTCGGAGTCGTTCGTTCGCTCGTTCGGTTGAGTCGTTCTGCGTCTCTTTTTTTTAAAACTTTGCTTTATGTAAACCCCCACCTCTCGCTCACTCTCTCGCTCACTCTCTCACTCACTCTCTCACTCACTCTCTCGGTCACTCTCTCGGCCACTCTCTCGCTCACTCTCTCGCTCTCTCTCTCGCTCACTCTCTCGTTCTGTACGCAGCCCCCCTCGTTCTGCGTCTGCGCCTCTCCCCGCTGCTCTTGATCCACTCTGGTCATCGTCATGGTCGTCACCGTATCTAGATTTGAAGCTTTCGTGATTGCAAGGATTCCTACTCTTAGGTTTTTTCGGTAGTCACGTTGGTAAAAAAAAAAGCTGTGATGGTTCCACCTGAGGACGGAGACTTGTGTTGCCTCGGAAACGTCATGATTTTTTATTTTATTTTTATTTTACATTTATTAATTTAATTTTTTTACCATCGTGACTTTACCTAAAAAACCAAAAAATATGAATACTTGCAGTCACAAAAGCTTCAAATCTATAATTAATTTGTCAGAGCTGTAGATAAGGAGTCGGCAGCCTTCAAGAACCTTCAAGACTTCTTTCCTAAGCTGTCTGAGGCAAAGGTCAAAGCCGGTGTCTTCGTCGGACCACAGATAAGGAAGATCCTGGAGTGCAATGAATTCCCCAAGAAGCTCACTAGTAAGGAGAAAGCGACTTGGAGCAGCTTTGTCGCAGTGGTTCGTGGCTTCCTGGGCAACCACAAGGTCGAAAACTATGTGGAGCTGGTTGAGACTCTGGTGAAGAACTACGGCACAATGGGCTGTAGGATGTCCCTCAAAGTCCATATCCTTGATGCTTGATTAATTCAAGGAGAACATGGGAGCGTACTCGGAAGAGCAAGGCGAGCGCTTCCACCCAGGATATACTGAACTTTGAACGCCCCTCACTCCCCTCCCTCCGTCTCCTCCCCTCCCCTCCCTCCTCTCCCCTTCCTCCCCTCCCTCTCCTCCCTTCCCTCCCTCCCTTCCCTCCCTCCCCTCCCTCCCTTCCCTCTCCTCCCTCCCTCTCCTCCCCTCCCTTTCCTCCCCTCCCTCTCCTCCCTCTCCTCCCCTCCCTCCCCTCCCTCTCCTCCCCTTCCTCTCCCTCTCCTCCCCTCCCTCCCTCGCGTGAATGCATCCCCGACTTGCGCTCTGAATAGGCCGATGCACGCGGATTACGATTTATTAAATCTGCGGGGGTGGGGGTTGGGTCTGCTTAGGGTTTCTTGAGCACTGAGAATATATCTTTTATTATCTGACTTTGTAGCTGACCGACTTTTAAGTGAAAATCCTCCAAAAGAGAAAGGGGCATTTCTTTTTTTTTACCTCTCGCAGAATCAGAATCTTTACTTAGACTGCTGGAGTAGATGTCCCCAGTAGGGGCACGGGGTCAGGAAGTTACAACAGCAAACAAGACAACAACAACAAACAACAAAAACACGATAGCAGTGAAAAGTATACGAAAGGGAAGATAATCACTTAAACAACTAAAACTAAACTATTTTTTATTTTACACCATTGGAACCTCATTTGCCAGTAAAAAAATATGATAATTGTTTTTTACCCTTCTATCTGGCAACAAAACTGACACCTTTTTTTGCAAGCTGTCTCGGGTGTGGACCAATCAACTTTAAGGACAGTGCACATTATCAGAGTTATGTTTTTTGTTTGCATTATGACTGCAGGTATTGTGGTCTATGCAAACATGACTCCTTGTAAAAAAAAGGTGTCAGTTTTGTTGCCAGATAGAAGGGTAAAAAAACTATTATCAAATTTTTATTTTGACCAGGTAAGGCTCGCTAAGCTATTCGCTTCTCTTTCAGAAGCGATCTGGTCACAAATGATTGCTCAACGGAGTCGCTCGTCATCATCATCATCATGTGGAAATTGATAGCAACCAAATAATATCAATAATCTAAATGCATGTCTCGAAAATGTGGAGGGGAAAAGCCGGAGGACCCGGACACAATCCATGCGGTCACAGGGAAAGAGACGCAAACTCCAAATATACAGCAGGTGCCAAGGATCGTTGATAGAACCCTCTACCCTCCTGCATAGCAGGTGAAGGGAACTCACATCACACCACCGTATCCACCAACACAGCCACCTCAGTTGGATTCCCATCTTCCCACCACAATTCTCTCTATGCGGTTTGAATTTACTCTAAACGCGACTATGCGGTCGGACGTGGGGAAACATTGTGCGTAGACTGTGTGTGTACTGTGTGTGTACCGTGTGTGT